TTTTTATTGGAATGATGAGAGATCTGATATCTATTAACTTTCCTTATGGTCAGCAACAGAATCTAGCAGTGTAAACTTACAGATTGTCAATGTGAAAAATAAAATCCTACCATCATTCTAGCGAAGTTATTCTTATACCAGACCCTTGAAAAATTTGGCATTGCACCTTCAATTAATCTACCATTGCTAATAACATCATTGTTATCATAGTTGTATAAAAAACTCTAGATATATCATCATTGTATAAATAACTTTAGATTATATCTGAAAGAATTTCTTTCAAGGCCAAATCTATGAACTTCTCAAAATCATGAGTTTGCTCACTAAGCACCAAAAAAATCCTATAAAAATACCTGAAACATTGTAGGTGATCAACAAATGACCGTTGAGTAAGTTAACTAATGGGTAACTACACTATGCCTTTACCAGAATAATATTGACTATCTTTCACATCATTTTCCTATGTATATCTAAAATAATTTCTTTTTTACATCTGGCCCTAGTCTTTATTTTGTGAATATTACTCAACAATAAAGATTTTGCTCCATAAGGGAACTTCTGCCTAAAAATAAATGTCATCACGTATATAAACAAGTGAGAAAAAAAATGAATAGAAAATGAACAAGTTTGAGGTTAGTGGCCTTAGTGTACAGTATTTCAAAAATGGTAGATAAAGCTGTTGAAACAATACAGGGTGTTTGATATGCATTGTGCAGCAGAATAAAATGTTTTATTGAACAACAGCCTACTTCTCAAGCACCAACATTCCCCTAAGAGCATTTTGTTTGTTATACTCCATAGAGTTCTTTTTCTCAAATCATTTTCATGTTTGTCAGTCAGCATTATTTCCAAATGCAAAGCACATTCCTTCTTTAGTGCTTCCTTTGGTAATTTATAAGACTACTGGAACAAGGTGACCTTAATTACTTTCAGTAGTATTATCACAGATGAAGTCTTGGGATGTCATCACCAGATGTTACACTATTTTATAAGTTCCAAAATAAGTTATTTAGGTTAATGTTGACAGTTTTGTTCCATACTTAGTATAATCTTCCCTCAAATATATTCCAGCTAAGAAACTTCTGGATAGACTCATTCTTGCTGGAAAAAGTAAAGCAATGTCCTTGTATTAGTGCGTAAAGGCATACTGACAGTCTATTTCAGGCAGATTCCCATTCTGGTACACTATTCCCAATAGTCTCATTTTGCTTTGTACAAAATGTAATAAGGAAACTTTTTTAAATAACACTTAATGATATTTGAGATGTTTAAAAATCAACTTCAGTATTTGAATTATAAAATCTAAGATGACTCATGACTTTCTGTATTTGTTCATTTATGTTTCTTATTGTATATTACATGGATTTTACTACTTTAAAGTAAGATTAGTGTTAACTTTACCTGTCTTATCAAATGTAGAATTGTCCCAATTTAAGGCATTATTTGTGTGCAAACCTTCCTTGGTGTCCACTGTGCTATTCACTTTTGTCATCACCATAACATCTCTGTTTATTAGTGGTAGCATGATAACATGGTGAAATATGAACATGAATTGACTTCTTGATTTTCATGAATTATCTCATGAAATGTAACCAGCAGGTCTGTCACTGTCATTATTTTAAAAAAAATGTGAAAAATAAATGTTTAGAGAAGTTGGATGAATTTTCCTAGACCATACAGGTAAAAATGAAAGAATAATGATTCAAATCCACTCCTAACCATAATACAACTATTTCCTCTAATTATAGTACTAATTTAGGACTTTAGTAAGGACTTCACACAAATGACCAATTTCCTCAATATTACCTACCCTCTAATCCCTTTATGATCCCTAAAGGGGAAACAAAAATTATGATCCCAAGTTGAGAAAGTAAGATGGTGGGATCTTTGAGAATTTCTTATATGAGCATACTTTTATTTACATGGATGAATGCCACAAATATTCCTCCCAGACCACTTATCTCCATTTTACCCCTTAGTAACTGAGACTCAGAGAGGTTTAGTAATTTCCCAAGGCCATATGCTTAGGAAGTGACAGAGTCCAGCCATGAAGTCAACATTTTCTCAGCCCTGGTGGGTGTCTGGTACAGCACAGAAGACCTTGTTTGGGATATCCACATCCCCATTAGAGAGCCTGGGTTTGAGCTACTTTCAAGGTAGCAGACAATGGTTGAAGTAGTTGCATCCTGGCCACCTGCGTGGGAGACTTGGATTGAGTTCCTGGCTCCTGGCTTTGCCTGGCCAAGACCTGGCTATTGCGGGCATTTGGAGAAGTGAAGCAGCAAATGAGAACTTTCTCTCTGTCAACCAAAAATAAATAAATATAAGTAAAATTTAAAAAGTTTTTCTTATACCAAAGCCTATGATTGTGTTTCATGGAATGAGAGTGGTATAGAAATAATCCCATTAGTTCATGGAATGAGAATGGAATAGAGATAATCCCATTATTTGTCATATTCACAGCCAAATTTTTTTCCTTCTACAATCTGCATGGCATTTTAACTCTTCAGCCATGATGATCTTAACTTTGTTAGCATGAAAACAACTACCACATTAAGAAACCCAATATACATCCATTTTATCAAAAGAAAGTGACCCAAGAGTGGTAGTCTCCTACAAGCCTACTTCAATCATTGGATGCCATTCTGCACTCTGCCTTGGGAGGCTGACCTCAGTAGAACGCATACCTTGTTTCTTGACTGGTTTTAGCTCATGAAAGGCATAAACACAATGGAGATCCCATTATTGTTCCTCTCTGCTCCCTTCTGTGAGGCTACTGTTCTCACTCTGAATAATCTGGACAGTTTCATTGGCTACTGCCTCCATACAGAAGGACTCCCTATCACCAAAGCTATTAACTCTTTTGGAAACTGTTTCTTCCTCTTCCAGTACCTCTGCAAATAATTACTTCATTAAATTACTTTCAATGTCCTTTACTTATTGTGCTATCTACTTTTTGATGAGATCTTGACTGATATTTCCAACACCAGATTTGTGAATCATAATTCTTTATTATGTTCCCCAGTATACTTTCTGCATTTTAAAAATTGTACTCACTGGGGTTGCTGCTGTGGTGTAGTAGGTTAAGCCTCCGCCTATAGTGCCGACATCCTATATGGGCACCAGTTCAAATTGTGGTTGCTCTGCTTCCAATCCAGCTCCCTGCTAATGGCCTGGGAAAACAGTGGAAGATGGCCCAAGTCCTTGGGCCCCTACAACCACATGGGAGATATGGAAGAACCTCTTGATTCCTGGCTTGGAACTGACCAGCCTTGGCCATTGTGGTCTTTTGGGGAGTGAACCAGCAGATGGAAGACCTCTCTCTCTCTCTCTTTTCCTCTCTCTATCTGTAACTCTGCCTCTCAAATAAATAAATAAATCTTTTTTTAACTGAAAAGTGATCCCTGTAAGGAATTTGGAAAACATTATGCTGAGTGAAATAAGCCAATCCCAAAGGGACAAATACCATATGTTCTCCCTGATCGGTGACAACTAACTGAGCACCAAAAAGGAAACCTGTTAAAGTGAAATGAACACTAGGAGAAATGATGACTTGATCAGCCCTCACCCTGACTGTTGATGAGCAACTTAATATGTTATCCCTCTTAGTATTTTTGTTTGTTTGTTCTACTTAATACTTTTGGTTGAAGACTGTAATCAATACACAATTCTTCTTAAGTGCTGAAACTTAACTGAAAAGTGATCCCTGTTAAATATAAGAGTGGGAATAAGAGAGGGAAGAGATGTGCAATTTGGGACATGTTCAAGCTGACTTACCTCAAATGGTAGAGTTAGAAACATACCAGGGGATTCCAATTCAATCCCATCAAGGTGGCATGTACCAATGCCATCTCACTAGTCCCAGTGATCAATTTCTGTTCACAATTTATCATAATGATAGGACTAAGAACCAAAGGGATCACATAAACAAGAATAGTGTCTGCAAATACTAGCTGATAGAATAAAAAAGGGAGAGAACGATCCAACATGGGAAGCGAGATACACAGCAGACCCATAGAATGGCAGATGTCCTAAACAGCACTCTGGCCTCAGAATCAATCCTTAAGGCATGCGGATCCAGCTGAAAAGCCCATGAGAGTATTTCAGGCATGGAAAGCCAAGACACTCTGGGAAAAAAAAAAAAAAAGGATAGATAAGCTTAAATGAAAGATCTCCGCGAGTGAGATCCCAGTGGAAAGAACAGGGTCATCAAAGAAGGAGGTACCTTTGTCTGAAGGGAGGAGAGAACTTCCACTTTAACCATGGCCTTGTCTAAATATGATCAGAGTCGGTGAACTCAAAAAGCTTCCATAGCCTTGGCAGCTCATGACAAGAGCCTAGGGTGATTACTGAGGCCATAAACAAGAGTGTTAATTTGTTAAGTCAACAACAGGAGTCACTGTGCACTTACTCCTCATGTAGATCTCTGTCCTTAGTGTGCTGTACATTATGATTTAATGCTATAACTAGTACTAAAACTGTATTTTTCACTTTATGTTTCTGTGTGGGAGCAAACTGTTGAAATCTTTACTTAATGCATGCTAAACTGATCTTCTGTATATAAAGAGAAACGAAAATGAATCTTGATGTGAATGGAAGGGGAGAGGGAGTTGGAAAATGGGAGGGTTGCGGGTGGGAGGGACGTTATGGGGGGAAGCCATTGTAATCTATAATCTGTACTTTGGAAATTTATATTCATTAAATAAAAGTTAAAAAAATTGTTTTCATCAATTAAAAGAAAGCCAAGTCTGTTTTCAACTATTTCTCATTCAACTCTTTGTTACCCCAACAGGTCCTCCCACCATATGCAAACTCACACTCATTGTCAATAAGTTTATTAAAATCAGATTATCTCTAAAGAAAGAATTTATGTTGCTAATATAATTAAGCTCTAAATTCAAACAAGTTCCTCTTCTTCCAATTTCTGTTTTATTCCTTATATTTAAATGTAATTCATCTAAATTTAACTCTTTTTATTCAGGATATCAAGGTATTTTTCCTAAATAATACTCTGCAATAAGATCCCTGTAAAAAAATCATGTCTATATTTGGCAGCTCTTGTGTACATTAGCCTATTCCTAATCTTAACTAATCCTAATTCCTAATCCTAACATTGCTATTCCTTTAAAAAAAAAAGATTTTTATTTATTTATTTGACAGGTAGAGTTACAGTGAGAGAGAGACACACAGAGAAAGGTCTTCCTTCTGTTGGTTCACTCTCCAAATGGCCGCAATGGCTGGAGCTGTGCTGATCCGAAGCCAGGAGCCAGGTGGGTTTTCCCAGTCTCCCATGCGAATGCAGGGGCCCAAGCACTTAGGCCATCCTCTACTGCTATCCCAGGCCACAGCAGACTGGCCTGGAAAAAGAGCAACTGGGACTAGAACCGGTGCCCATATGGGATGCCAGCGCTGCAGGCAGAGGATTAACCTAGTGTGCCAAGGTGCCTGCCCCAACATTGCTATTCCTAATCTTAGCAGAAAACTTCTGTGAAAATTGAAAACTGAGTGCTTACCACTCGACATTTTCTAGGTTCCCCAGAAGACACATTATATCAAGAAAATGCAGAACTCAAGACATTTTTGGAAAAATATGGTGCCTAATCAGAGCAACCAGGTAAATATCTTTGTTTTAGATAATTTAGTTTAGCACTGTGTTCAATTGGTAATATTCTATCTAGACAATAACATGAATTTCTCTTATACTTAAGAAAATTAAAACAGGCCTCCTTAAGTCATAACAGTGTATTTTATAACTCTTTCTAAAAACAAAGAAAAAAGATTATATACAAACCTATAAAGCTAGGAAATAGAGTCCTGTTCACCATGAGGAACTGTTGTTTTTAAATATGGTAAGGAGGTTCATTTTAGAATAAATTTTATTTTAGATGTTAAGATACCCAATAAGATGTTTAATGAAAGTGTTGTTATAGTCATCAAGTAAAGTTATTATTGTTCTAAATACTGTATTTGAATTACCCCAAGTAACTTCTCACTAAGCCATAATGAAGCCATCATCATCATCAACATATTCAAAAAAAAGCACCATGGTCGTAACAAATACCCACTGTATGTTACCCAGAAGTGTTTGATATAATTTGATGATGATTCAGAATTTTACTAAATCTTATGAAAAAATATTTTTAAACTTTCTTAGTAAGAGAAAAAGCCATATACCATCGAGGAAACATTTGCTTGCTATTGGTGCCAAATTAAAATTGAATGAAATCATAAATGGAAAAAATGGTTGTAATTTGAATACCTTCTCTTTCAGTGAATGCTGTTAGAAGACCCAGGACAAACACTGAGGAAGATAATTATAAAAGAGTATTAAGAAAATATTTATCTACCTGGAGCTTTTTACATGATTAAATGAAAATACCGATATTGCCAGAAAGGCTCAGCTTATGATGTTTAATACATTCACTCTCAGTGGCAAAAATACAGAAATTATTTGTGTTGTAAAGGACTAAGTAGCATATAATTTAGAAAAAACCTATTGACACTTTGCTAGGAAAAATCCAAACAGAACGGTGACAGACAATTCTGGGGCATTATTGTGATGCAGCAGTCTAAGCTGTCACTGGGGAAGCCCACATCCCACACGGGAGTGTCAAGTTGAGTCCTAGCTACTTCACTTCCAACCTAATTTCTGCTAATATGCCTGGGTGGCAGCAGGTGATGATTCAAATATTTTGGTGCCTGCCACCCAAATAGGAGACCAATGTGGAATTCCTGGCTCCTGACTTAGGCCTGGCTAAGCCCTGGCTATTTCAGGCATTTGAGGAGCGAACCAGCAGATGGAAGATCTCTCTCTCTCGCTGTGTTCCTCTCCTTTTCAAATGAAATAAAATTAAATAAACACTGAAAAAAATAAAGAACTCTAAGGATGACTACAGATAAAGCAACCTTGAGAAGTTCATTGACAGAATCATTTATATTCAAGTATTATAAAAAATAATTAGAAGCAAGGAATGTGTTAACTTTATAGAATATAACTGATATCAATAATTTAATAAAAACAAGTTCTCTGAAGCAAAGTAGAATCTTTATATTACTGGGCAACAGTATGGGAAAAGATCATCAATATTTTCATATCACAAAATGCCCCATAACTTTCCAGCTTTTATTAAGAAATCCTTGGAATGTGAATGTCACAAAAGTTTGTTTCACAAAAATCCCGTTAATAGGTTCAGGCTGATTTATAGTGTTAAACAAGATGTTTGGTGTTTGATTTTTATGAAAGAGAAAAAGCTACAAACTTACTTTTTCTGTGACATCCAGTAGCTATGTTATGTAATAAATACATTTAATATTCTTTTCAATATAACATAAACATTTAGCCATTATTTTTAAAAACCCAAAGTATTGGGGTTGGTATTTTGGCATAGCTGGTAAAGCCACTGCCTGTGAAGTTGAATTCCATATGGGTTCTGGTTAATGTTCTGGCTGCTCCACTTTCCATCCAGCTCCCTGTTAATGGTCTGGGAAAGCAACAGAAGATGGCTCAAGTGTTTGGGTTCCTGACACCCATGTGGGAGACCTGGATGAAGTCCCTGGCTCCTGGCTTTGGCCTGGCCCCGTCCTAGCGGTTGAGGCTATCTGGTGAGTGGAGCAGTGGGTGTAAGATATGTTTCTCTCTGTCTCTCCCTCCCTCATCCAACTCTGACTTTCAAATAGATAAGTAGACCTTAAAAACAGAACAAACTATCAGTTTCCATTTTGGGGAAGAATGGAATAAAATCAAACGAGAATCCCTTTGTAAAACAACTATTAAATATGTACAGAAAACAAAAAAATACAAACTGAACATACTTTTTAGGGGAAGGAATATTGTATAGACTGAATCAAATTTTTCATTACTTTTAACATAATACCAATAATTGTAAGTACAACATGTGACTCAGCAATTCGATCACAGGGGAGCAGAAGGGTGAAAGAGACATAAAGGAAATTCCTAAATTCTGTATCCCACATCTTCAACTGATATAAAGAAGAAATTCAGAGAGGCTCAGCTAGCAACCAAAAGCCTGAACTTGGTTGGAATTGCTTCCCAAAATAAAGAGTCTTCAATTCAAATCCAAATGAGATAATAGGCTGGTAAGCAAAAGAAATAACAGTCATTTATTGTCTGTTATAAGTGGTTGCATAATGGCCTTTAACTTGTGGCAAAAATAATATAAATGCTTATTTGAATGTCTAAGCTCTTTTTGATTTATGTGTGTCCAAATACCTACAAGGCCAGTACTGCAGCAAGGAGCCAAGGAGAGTAAAAATGTCTGTGTCAAAAGGAGACAGAGTGTTTTCCATGGAGATAAATTTGGAGCCAGACTAGATCAGTAAAGAACATTCTCTTCTGATCGTACTTTTTATTTTCTTTCTGCTTATTTGCAAAGGCTCAGTGCTTTATAGTTTGACTGATTTGTAAGATCTCTTCAGCTACCAAGAAAAAGAAAAAAAAAATACCAAAGGAGCCTGCTGTTTGTTCCTTAAAGATATTCTGCTGTTAAATGTAATGCAAGTTATATGTTGCATAGCTTTCCAGATTTTCTACCCAAATCCCTGGGTAGTTGGATTTTCTCATTTTCTCAGAGTTACAGATACTGATTTTGTGTCATTGAGAATGATTTAGGAATTTCTTCCTTTGGTGTGTGAATCCCAGAAAGTTGTTTCCTAAAAGAGCCAGTTACACTAAGCATAATCAAGAGGAACTAAAGGGGAGTGTCCTGCACTGCAAACATTTCAGCTTTCCACGTCTCAAACCCATCCTTGGATGTGGCTGTAAGTCTTCACCTCACCTAAAGCAATATGGAAAGTTCCAGAAAAGTAGAATGTTCAAGAATTTTGGAGTACATCCAGACATTTCAAATTATCAGTGTCTTTTTTTTTTAAAGATTTATTTATTTATTTGAAAGGCAGAGTTACACAGAGAGAGGAGAGGCAGAGAGAGAGCGAGGTCCTCCATCTGATGGTTCACTCCCCAACTGGCCACAACGGCTGGCGCTGCACTGATCCAGTAGCTTCTTCCAGGTCTCCCACGTGGGTGCAGGGGCCCAAGGACTTGGACCATCTTCTACTGCTTTCCCAGGCCACAGCAGAGAGCTGGATAGGAAGTGGAGCAGCCAGGTCTCGAACCAGTGCCCATATGGGATGCCACGCTTCAGGCCAAGGCATTAACCCACTGTGCCACAGCGCCAGCCCCTCAAATGATCAGTGTCTTAATGTCAATTCTGGTAAGAAACTTTCCTTCTTACAATTTGTGGCCTGTTTATAATATTACCTCACTTTATCTCAATTACTGCATTTTCTATTGTGGTTGACTTGCAATTTTGAACTTTACCAAAAATATAGCTTTAGAAAAATATGGCACTTTCATTTTTAATATTTTATATGTGGTACTAACTTATGCTAGCACATATTTTTCTTATTAACATTTATTTATAATTTTTGAGCTAAATTTTTCATTCACATTGTAATAGAAAACTTAATACATCACTAAATAAAGAATTTAACAACTAAAAAGTACAAAGCACTGTAGTTCAGTAAAAAAATAAGTAAGGGCTGTAAATTAGTATCATTTGGAAATATGCTTTAAAATAAGAATTATGCACAAAAATGGTTTACAGTTTATACACATAAGATTTTCACATCTTTTCCAATTTAATTTTTATGCATAAATGTATTGATTTATTTATTTATTTTCTTGGAAGGCAGAGTGACAAAGAAAGAAAAAGAAAGGGGCGGGGGAGAGAGAGAGAGAGAGAGAGAGTTTCCTTCTTTTGGTTCACTGCACAAATGGCACAACAATCAGGACTGGGCCAAGTTTAAGCTAGGCATCAGGAATCTGGATCCCCAACGGTACCACATCACCTACCCTTCCACTTAATCTTTGTAAAAACAGAGATACTATTATCCTCTGTTCAGTCACTGAAGTTCTTTAACCTAATTGGAGCAAGCACTAGAACTCATCTGAGTCTTCTAATTAAACTACAGTACATATAGGGAAAAATTGTGTTCTAAAGTTGGATAGATTTTGCTGAAAACCTAAATCTACTGCTTACTGGTTGATAGAAAGTTATCTAATCTTTCTAAAATTTATATCTACCATTTATAAAGTGAAGATTAAAAGTATTTTTCTCCAGAATCATTAAGTGGATTCACTAAGGATTCGATATATAAATCACTATGAAACTTAATGTCCTTAGTGAATATAGCTATCATGATAATCCTCACTGTTGTCATCTTGGCATCTTCATCATCATCATCAACTTTGTGTTCATTCAAGTCCACTAGCAAAGTCTACTAACAAAGTCCTCACAAATAATCATGCCTTTCATATTTCCTTGCTCAAATCATTTGCTCTCATTTAGCCAAGACCCCCTCCCCCAAACAGTTGCCTTTGTTGCAAACACTTGCATTCACCAACATGCATAACTATTTAATATTTTACAAAAAAGAGTGGATTTATCTCAGAAGAGAAATAGAGAACTTGAGACATTAGTTAGTGTGTTACCTCTATTTTGCTCTCTCAACAGTATTTAATGCTCAAATGTAATTAATATTTGTAGTTGTTGAAGAATTTTTATTTATTCTATCTACCTTAAATGGGGTTTTAAATTGCATTAAATTGACAGAATCTCTTGACTAAATATTCTTAATGCTCCAGTGTTCTAATGTAAGTAATTTCTGTGAAGTTAATATTTAAAGAGAAATCTTTAGGTATTTTTGGTTGTGTTATGACATTGAAAATTTGTCAATTTAGTTACTATTCATTTTCCTTTAGAATTTCAAATCAAAGAAATTTTTCAAATCAAAAGTTATTCAAATGTAAATAGCCTGTCTTATTGTCAATTCTCCCTCAAGTCATTCATGTACGATTTTTCTATCACTTTTCAACAAATGCTGCACAATTCCACTTTCACAAGTTTTTAAATACTTAAAAACATTTGTTACTTCTCCCCCAATAAGTTCAAAATTCAACACATTCCAAAATCAGTTTTGAGCACTTATTGCAAGTTTGTGCGAAAGGTGAGTCTACAATAATAAAAAAAATAACCAGTGTTGGCCATCAGGAAGCTGATTGTGATGTAAATAGGGGGTATATAATCACAGGCTTGGTGAAGTTCAAGGAAATAGAAAATACATTTTGTTCTTCAATAGCTTTAGGGACCAGAGTGGGTGTAACTCAGAAGAGACAAGGTAAGAAACGTTTATCCAGAAGCAATGTCCTACCTGAGTAAACTTTAGGAAAAATGTATCATTAGTATTCCATAGGTGGTCTAGTAATAAATCAAAGCCGTACTTGGATTTTCTGCCATTGGTAAATTCAAATTACCAACATATCATTGCATATAGTGATGAGATGATAGGAGCAATAGTGTAAAAATGCATACACACACACACACACACACGATTCACTTTCTTTTTTTTAACTTTTATTTAATGAATACAAATTTCCAAAGTACAGCTTATGGATTACAATGGCTTTTTCCCCAACATAACTTCCCTCTCACCCGCAACCTTGATAGCATCTTTTACAAAATTTTGATAACATCCAATTCCTTCATTTTAGCTACTTTAATTTCTGGTGTCAGATTTAAGAAATCATTGCTTTGTTAAAAGGAATGAATATATTTGCTTAGGTTTTACTCTAGGAATTGTGTTTTAAAATCTGCATAACAAATATGACATTTGTGTGTATGTGCATGCGTGTGTGTATATGCACATATGAAAGGAAACATGGCATTTGTCTTTCAGTTTCTGGTTTAGTTCATTTAGAATAATGATCTTCAATTCCATCAATTTAGTTGCAAATATCAGAATTTTTCTTCTTTTTTAGGATGAGTAACATTTCATCGTGACTATATACCACATGTTCTTTATTCATTCATCTCTTGATGGACAAACAGGTTGATTCCATATCTTTGCTATTGTGAATAATACTGCAGTAAACATAAGTGTGCTTAGATTCAGATACTCGATCCATTTTGAGTTAATTGTTGTAGATAGTGCAAAACAGGTATCTTTCAATTTCTAAAACTATGGAGGATAAAAGAGTACACACAGGAAAAAGTAGAAGTAAAAGAACCGGCCAGCACTGTGGCTCAACAGGCTAATCCTCCGCCTAGCGGCGCTGGCACAC